CTTTGCTTTGACTGTCAATCACCGGCGTTGTCGTTTTAAATCAGCATCATTAGCGTTTCAGTATTTTAGTGAATGTGAGCTATGCTCTGATTTTAAATCGTAATTTTGTCAGCTCCTGAATTGGGTCATACCGCCGATATTACACAGCAGTATAAGATAGTCTATGTATGACCGAACGATTTATTCATATCCATATCCAAATGAGACGATATGAACTAGTGGTGGAAAGAGTACTAAGAAATTGTACTTAAGTAAAAGTATTGCTACTTAAGGAATACTTTACTTGAGTACAAGTAAAAGTACTGAAAAATAATATGACTCAAGTAAGAGTAAAAAAGTAGTTTGCTGAAAAACTACTCAAGTTACTGCGTTACAAAGTACTTTAGTATTATTTTTCTATTTTTACCCAAAATTAGACGATGTGAGCATTATTGAGCAGGGTTAACCCTAACACTCTTTATTTGTATTGTTATTTGTATAAATGATAATAAAAAATATAAATTACAAATATTTGAAATATTATTAATGTAATATTTCGCTGCACAATAAAATGTCAGTATTTAAGAAGAACATAAAAAGTATAAATATTTGTCTTATATTTCATTATTAATAATAATAATAATAATAATAACACATGGTCATTTTGAGTGAAACCAATCGAGACATACGATGGCTGCTGTTAGATCGGGTCTCCACGAGTACGGGTCTCCTAATAATTAGGATCCAGCCCCGGACGCCAGATCCCGTAAGAAAATATCAGTTTGTCCAGTAACAGAACAACTAGTCAGCAGAGCTGTTAATAGCCAAACCCTGTTAACAGCAAGTCTAGTCTGGTATCCAAAAATACCCAAAACGAGTGTTTAACAGTCTTCTGTCGAGAAAAGCCAGAGAAGAGCAGAAGCAGGAGACGAAGTGATGATGGTAAAAAGTAAGAGTTTATTGAACAATCTTAGTTGCGTATGTCTCAATGTTCAAACTTCGTCTGATGAGCACAAATTCAGCAAGTAATGATATATCCAACTGATTCACAACAACATCCCATAAACCTTGGGTTTCCATGAACATCCCCCCCTTATCCATCTCTTATTCATACAGACAAAACAGTTCATGAA